CCGTGATTGAAAGCAGAAGAACTTCTTTTTTGCCTTAAGCCAGGTGAAAATTCTCACACATATAGACAGTGTTCTTAGAGATTTGGAAGATTCAGACACTGGCGATTTCAGTGTGAAAGAATGCACAATTAGAACTACGTATAACCACAGAGTAAAAGTGTATATGATGAGAGTAACCTGCCCTCCCACCAACAGTAAGACTGAATCTTTTTCTTGGGCTAGGTGTGGATCCTATGGAAAGGAACCAGCCATTTAAAATCCAGAAATGAAATTCACTTTAAGTTTCTTCTTGCCGTGGAAAATCAACCTTAATGAGAAGATCCTGGGAGTTTAGGGTAGGAAGCAGAAAATGGCATATAGGGAGTTGTGTGGATGCAGTACCATAATTCCGAAGTAGAACTGCCAAAGGAAACACCATCCACATAAGGTAACTGCAGAAAAATTTCCTCAGAAGCAGAACTTCTGAAAAGTCCCCAGATGCAATCCAAGAGAAAAAAAAAAGAGCACTTAGAGTATAAATGTAGAATCAAAAGGAAGCATTTGAAAAAAGGGGTGAAATGGATCATTTGTAGATGTGGGTGTACCTAGAGACTGTCCTCCAGAGCGAAGTAAGTCAGAAATAGGAAAACAGAAGTTTTATGTGAATACATATCTGTGTAATCTAGAAACAAATGGTATAGATGATCTTATTTGCAAAACAGAAATGGAGATACAGACATAGAGAACAAATGAAAGGACACCAAGCAGGGAAACGGGGAGAAGTGGAATGAGCTGGGAGACTGGAATTGACACATACTCACTACTATGTATAAAATAGAAAACAAATGAGAACGTCCTGCATAGCTCAGGGAACTCTACTCAGTGCTCTGTGGTGACCTAAATGGGAAGAAAATCCAAAAGGGAGGGGATGTATGTATACCTAGAGCTGATTTACTTTGCTGCACAGCAGAAACTAACAACATTTAAAGCAACTATGCTCCAATAAAAATTAGTTAAAAATATAACACTAGTTAAAAAAAGAGCATTTAAAGTGTCTGCTCCTGCAACACTTTCCCACATATTTATCTCTACTCCCCTCATTTTCACTCATTCCTGTGGTCCCAGGTTAAGAGATGCCAGAGAGAAGGGTATCAGGAAGAGCCCGCTAAACTTGCTGGTTTCTTTGTTGGCTCCAGATCTGGAGCAGGCTCAACACAGGGTTCCATGAACCACATGTGGAACAACAAATAGGTTCAAAATTGGAAAAGGAGTATGTCAAGCTTGTATACTGTCACCCTGTTTATTTAACATATATGCAGTGTACATCATGCGAAATGACAGGCTGGATGAATCACAAGCTGGAATCAAGATTGCTGGGAGAAATATCAACAACCTCAGATATGCAAATGACACCACCCTTATGGCAGAAAGTGAAGAGAAACTGAAGACCCTTTTGATGAAAGTGAAAAACGAGAGTGAAAAAGCTGGCTTAAAACTCAACATTCAAAACACAAAGATCATGACATCTGGTCCCATCACTTAATGGAAATAAATGGGGGAAAGAATGGAAACAGTGACAGACTTTACTTTCTGGGCTCCAAAATCACTGTAGAAAGTGACAGCAGTCATGAAATTAAAAGATGCTTGCTTCTTGGAAGAAAAGCTATGACAAAACTAGACAGCATATTAAAAATCAGAGACATAACTTTGCTGACAAAGGTCTGTCTAGTCAAAGCTACAGTTTTTCCAGTAGTCATATATGGATGTGAGAGTTGGACCATAAAGAAGGCTGAGTGCCAAAGAATTGATGCTTTGAAACTGTGGTGCTGGAGAAGACTCTTGAGAGTCTCTTGGACAGAAGGATATCAAATCAGTCAATCATAAAGGAAATCAGTCCTGAATATTCATTGGAAGGACTGATGCTGAAGCTGAAACTCCAATACTTTGTCCACCTGATGTGAAGAACTGACTCATTGGAAAAGACTGTGATGTTGGGAAAGACTGAGGACAGGAAGAGAAGGGGATGACAGAGGATGAGATAGTTGGGTGACATCACTGACTTAATGGACATGAGTTTGAGCAAGCTCCAGGAGATAGTGAAGGACAGGGAGGCCTGGCATGCTGCAGTCCATGGGACCACAAAAAGTCAGACATGACTTAGTGACTGAACAACAATATTATTGAGTATTTAGATAGCTTCTAACCTTGTTGGTATTTTTTATTTTGGTTTTTTGGATTTTTTTTTTTTTTGGCTCTGTCATGTCTTAGTTGTAGCAGGCAGTATCTTCATTGTGTCATGCAGGGCATTTTGCTGTGGCCCAAACTCTCTAGCTGTGTTGTGTGAGCTTAGTTGCTCCACAGCACATGGGATCTTAGTTCTCCTACTGGGAATCAACCCATGTTCCTTGCATTGCAAGGTGGATTCTTAACCAGTCGATCACCAGGGAAGTCCCCATCCTTGATGTTTTGGACAAAACAAAACTGTTTTAGATAGTTTTTTAGGTGTCCGTTTTCTTTCTTCAGGATGGCTGAAGAAAGAATGGCTGAAGAAAGAAGTTGACTGGCATCCAAAGGGTAGATCACTTTGTCTGCCTAATTACTGATAAACATACCACAAAACTGAAGACTCATGGTGGAAAAAATGTATAATAGAGAGGCAGTATCAAAAATATCACTGCAGTAACTGTGAAAATATTAAATGCAATAACTATTAAGCTACTACAAAATTGAGAAGTGTGCTTCCCTAGTGGCTCAGATGGTAAAGAATCTGCCTGCAATGCAGGAGACCTGGGTTCAATCCCGGGGTTGGGAAGAGCCCCTGGAGGAGGAAATATCAAATAGCAAGCCACTCCAGGATTCTCGCCTGGAGAATCCCCATGGACTGAGGAGCCTGGCAGGCTACAGCCCATGGGGTCGCAAAGAGTCAGAGCTGACTGAGTGACTAAGCACACAGACTTGAAAAGGATGATCATAGCAAATGTTATACCGCTGGTTCCCTCTCCAGCTCTCTTCTCAACCTTCTGTATCTTAATCTTCATCTGAAGAGACTCATCTTAGGGACAGTGTCCTGTGCCTTCTACTTGCCTTTGCGAAATTGGTGCCCAGCAGAAAAATAGAGAAATGTGCTAAGAGTCATGGCTAATGGACCCTGGGTCCTTCTGTGAGGCCAGGACTGGCTGTGCTCCTTTCAGGATGTCTGGGGTAGTCAGCTCTCTCTCTCTCCACAGTTTTTGATCTCACCAGTGAATCTCTTGGCTAAAAACTTTGGGTTTCCACTCTAGATTTGCTGTGATTGTCAGAGATTTGGAATTTAGTTGCCCACATTTTAAACTCCTCTATCTCAACTTATTAAATTAGTGTTTCTGGAACTTAAAGACTCTTTTTAGTTTGGGCTTGAGGAATGTTTTAGAGTGATAGGAAAGTTCCAAAATTGGATTTGGTGATGGTTACACACATCAAGGAGATCAGTCCTGGGTATTCATTGGAAGGACTGATGCTGAAGCTGAAACTCCAGTACTTTGGCCACCTCATGCGAAGAGTTGACTCATTGGAAAAGACCCTGATGCTGGGAGGGGTTGTGGGCAGGAGGAGAAGGGGACGACAGAGGATGAGATGGCTGGATGGCATCACCGACTCGATGGGGATGAATTTGAGTAAACTCCGAGAGTTGGTGATGGACAGGGAGGCCTGGAGTGCTGTGATTCATGGGGTCGCAAAGAGTCGGACACGACTGAGTGACTGAACTGAACTGAACTGAACTGAACACACATCTATGGGCTTCCCTGGTGGCTCAGATGGTAAAGAATCCACCTGTAATGCCTGAGACCTGGGTTGCATCCCTGGGTTGGGAAGATTCCCTGGAGGAGGACATGGCAACCCACTCCAGTATTTTTGCCTGTAGAATCCCCATGGACAGAGGAGCCTGGTGGGCTACAGTCCACGGTGTCACAAAGAGTCAGAAACACACATCTATGCTGCTGCTGCTGCTAAGTCACTTCAGGCGTGTCTGACTCTGTGCAACCCCATAGACGGCAGCCCACCAGGCTCCCCAGTCCCTGGGATTCTCCAGGCAAGAACACTGGAGTGGGTTACCATTTCCTCCTCCAATGCAAGAAAGTGAAAAGTGAAAGTGAAGTCGCTCAGTTGTGTCCGACTCTTAGCGACCCCATGGACTGCAGCCCACCAGGCTCCTCCGTCCATGGGATTTTCCATGCAAGAGTACTGGAGTAGGGTGCCATTGCCTTCTCCACACACATCTATATATTTGTTTGAAATCATCCAGTCATGTACCAACAATGGATGGATTTCATTGTATGTAACTTAGACCTCGCTAAAGCTAAGAGGAAAAGTAAATCTCAGATATCTGTACTATCTCATGAATATTGGGCAATCTCTTTGAATACCAGAAAAGGTCATTGGACAATATGATTTGTTTCCTAAATTCTTCTTGAAAATTGTTTCTACATAAGACTAGTCTTTAGAATGCCAAAAAATATTGTCAGTGATTTTTTCTTTAAATTATACTACTAAATTATTGGTATAATTTATAATCAGTGTTGTTTTAGAATCAGGAAAGAATTTAACTGTTGAGTAATTGCAAGCTATTATAATAAATCAAACATCCATCTATTTGGGAATATAATTGAAAATTCACCTACTTAAGCTAATGCAAAAGACCAACTAGCTATTATTAACTCAGCCCTAAGAAGGGTACAATTTCATTTCCCTGACCTTACAAATTTAACGGGAGGACGTTTTAAAAGAAAAAAAAACAAGCAAACATTAAGTTCAATTTGTGGTGGACAGTTGAGAAATTGTGTGTTATCTTTGCTCGGAAATTAAAAATAACATTTCCTTTGAGGTTTTCACCAGTGGATGAAACTGTGAACCCATTGTATGCATCTTGAGTGGACCATTTCAGGACAATCTCTGATTAGCGGTGGGTTTATTATTCTTCTCTTATTGCATATTAAAAAAAACAAAACATACACTTTTACATAGGCATTCACTCACATTTGAAGATGCAAGATGAAGAAACATATATGACCTTGAATATACAGTTGAAGAAAAGAAGTTCTATCCAAACATTTCAATTTAAATGTCAAGGTATGGAATTCAGGTTTTTTTTTAATTGTTGTGGATTAATATGGGTGAGGATTTACTATGAGTTAATATTCATATGCTCCTTCTTGGATCACTGTCTTGTCATGATGAAGGGGTTTGAGAAACTTCGTAAATCTATGAGCCATGCCATAGACATGAACTTGAGCAAATTCTGGGAGATGCTGTGAGACAGGCAAGCCTGGCAAGCTGCATTCCATGGGGTTGAGATGAGTTGGACATGCCTTGGAGACTGAACAATAATATTCATATTAATATTAATGTGGATAGTAGTTTACATTATTCTGTTTTTTTTTCTTCGGTTCTTGGACTGTTTAATTTTTGTGGTATTTCCCATTCTCTGTCTTTGCATCTATCTTTTCTCTCTTTCTCTTTATCAATATGGGACTAACAGCTGTTTGCTTTGAAGTAATATTTTGCTTCGTATTATTAAGGATATACCTAGGAAATATACACATCTAGTTAAAATCAATAATTAAAAAGTGAATTTTTGGTGCCGGTCATTCACCTTCTTACCATTTATAAAATAATGGCATTTTAAATTATCAACTTTTTATTCAACTTGTCAAAAATTTTAAAATATGTTTTTAATCAGGTGAAAAAAACTTGTTTGGACAATAGAGATATTAACATGAAAGACCACAAAATGTAGCGGCTCTTCCGTGAAAACTTTTCTCACATTCAGTTTGGAGATGGCATCTGTAAACCAAAATGTGTCTTTGCACAGAAAATGAGGTCAGGAAAGTGTAAAATAATAAATTTGCAACTCCTAGTAATTTAAGTGGCACATGCTAATAACCATTATTTATAATATGTTTTGCTGGTATTTAGTAAACCTTGCTAACATTTTGTAAAGTTGGGAATTAAACATATGACATTTCAATCTAATCAACAATTTTATATTTCTATCTTTTTCAGTGTTTACTTAACTATTCTCACTTGTTTTTTCTTCCAAATAATTTTATAATACATTTTGCAGACACTTTTATTATAAACAACAAAATAAAAAACAAACAGATGTAGTTTTATGGTATATTAAATGCTTCCTAATTTATCAGTCTACTTAAGGAACATTTATCTCTGACATTTAGCTTTCAAAGCACTCATGGCTGAATTTCCACCTGTTCAAGTCTGTATTCATGATATACTGATTTTTTTTGTTTGCTTTTTATTTTGGTGATGTGTCTCTGTTAAGTATGATATTAGCTTCATTAGGGAAAGAACTGTTCTCTTGAAAAAGTGCCCATCAATTTCAGCTTTAATTTTTAGCATAATGTGGTGAATATTATCACTTGTGTTTTTTTTTTACTTCTGTGAGATGATGATATATTTTCCCCAAGCTCTATGAATGTGAGATGAATGGATTTCTTACTAACGAACAGCTCTTGTATTCCTAGAATAAATTCAACATGATCATGGTATGTTTGGCTACTACTAATATGTTTAAGATTTTTGTGTGAACACTGTTAAAGGTCATTGGTTTTTCTTGTTTAAAATACATTTACTTTTGATGGTAAAGTGCTTGTGTTCTAACATTCTAAGTTAAATTATACCACTTCTCAGGGTAATGAAAATGTGGTTTTCTTCATAATGCTGAATTTAACATGCCTCAAATTCATATTTTGAAAGTTATCCCACTCTACTTATGAGAAATAATTAAGTCTGAGTTGAATTTGAATAGGCTTCCACACTCTTTATCCTAACATTTTCTGATAATCATTTGTTTGATTTTTAATATAATGGCATTTTATTACATGTGTTTAAATGTATTGACTATCATTAGTACTATATCAAAATATCCAAAAGCAATCTGTGAAATGTAAAATATTCCTTAATTGAACTCTGATAAAACTTATTTTACTATCTTTGTTAATATTACTATAAGAGAAAAGGTGTGCACCAGTTCCCTGAAATACAGTTCTGTGTGGTTTATTACACTCTTTCTTGACCAGGATTGACAACTTCAAAGGTAGCTTTTCTCTTCTCACTGTTCTGATCATCCAGAGTAGTATCATTGCTAAATAAGATAAATATGTATTTTTCTGTTTCCTTAGGTTTTATGTTTCTAGTGCCTAATATTCTATGATATTCAAAATCCATATTGTGTACAATCCTGTTATTACAATTGCCATCACTTCACAGGAATGTACTTTCTAAGCTAATTTGTGTGATTAATTTGTCAGACTGTTCTGTGATGTCACACCGATATAAAATCTTGTTGGGGATATCTGGAGGACTAAATGGTATTCTGGTTTTGACTTTGATCACCTTGAGTCTGTTAGGTAAGTTAAAAGATCTTAATTAAATAAAAATATGAAAAATGTTTACTTGTTTCTTATTACTCTTTTCATATTCATTCATTCTTCTTTACACTAACAAAGATTTAATGAGATTAAATTTAAAGATTTAATAATTTTGCTATGTATAAGGCAATAGATTATACTCCACAGTAACATATTGATTAAGTATTCGAATCAGGTACATATCTGGTCCTCAAGTGGCATACAGTTTACTAGGAGAAAAGTGTATGTAAGTGTGTGTGTATGTAATGTATTTGAAATCATACTTCAGGATTTCTTAGATGTTTGTGAATAGATTGAATGACATTATTTTTCTTCAAATTTATACATTATTATTTAAGATTGAATTCAGTTTACTCTTGATTTTGTCCAAATATTTGCTGAGCAGTCTTTAGACTCCAAACATTGCTACAAATCCTTCAAAAAAAAAAAAAAAAGTAATAGTCACGGTGAGAAATCTCATATTTTAGTGGAACAGATTTTTAAAAAATTAGGGTAGACTGGGCTAAATACAACATATAGAGTGAAGTAAGTCAGAAAGAGAAAAATATTATATATTAATGTATATATATATATGTGAAATCTAGAAAAATGGTACTGATGAACCTATTTGCAGAGCAGGGATAGAGATGCAGATGTAGAGAATGGACTTGTGGACACAGCGGGAAGAGAGGGTGTGATGAATTGGGAAAGTAGCATTGGCACATGTACATGACCACGTGTAAAATAGATAGCTAGTGGGAAGCTGCCATATAGAACAGGGAGCTCAGCTCGGCACTCTGTGATGACCTAGAGGGGTGGGATGTTGGTGGAGAGGTTCAAGAGAGAGAGAATACATGTATATATATGGCTAATTCACTACGCTGTGCAACAGAAGCTAACACAACATTTGTAAATCAACCATACTCCAATAATAAAACAAAAAAGGAATGAAAATGCACCTGTTGGTGCACTTGAAAAAAGAAAGCAAGCTTGGAAAGAGCATGTATAACCCCTAGAACTAGAACTTTGCTTTATTTACTATTGTATGGCAAGTTCTTAGGACAATGCCTGGCACAGAATAGATCCTAAGCAAATACATGTGCTATGCATGAATTCATTGTGTAATAATTTAATTCACTTTTCATTAAACACAAACATGATTTAAAAGAAAATTTATCATTATCCCTTCAGTTATTTCTTGTTTCAATGATCTGAATTGTTCTGAAGAATTTGTCTCTGAGACATTGCCTAGAGAAGATATTTTCCCAACCTTAGAATAATCCTCTTTTCAAGTTTCTCAGGAAGTGCTGCCAAAATGCCTAAAAGAATATAATTCAAACATCACTCAGCATGATGATACTGGATACTTGGAAGTCAATAGTAACACAAGAGGCAATATACATGAGAAAGATGCAGGCCACTGTGTTTCAAGAGCTACAGGTAATAAAGGTATCTCTCAAGACTTTGGCCTCTATCACTTTTAATCTTTTGGACTTTCTAAGTTTGAAAAAAATCCCATTGAACAGGTATGCAGTAGACTAAATTAACGAAGATGATATAAATCTACTTTTTACTCAAAACTTGATTCACATATTTTTAATTTTTTTTGTTGTGGGAGGAGAGCTGTAAAACAACATAAAAAGGCCATCCCTCTAAGAATTTAAAATCATATTGAGACATATAAACATGGAAAATTAATTGTGATTGTAAGGAATAATGTAAATAAGTATTTTTTTGTCTCACTTATCCTTTTTTCAAATACAAAATGGATGAAAGTAATTATATCTAAGAGGCTATCTGTTATGATTTTAAATTAGAACTTCCAACCATCCAGAATTTTGGGAAACTGTTCTTCCTACTTTCAAGTTTTCTTTTAGTTTAAATTTTTAACACTTATTCTTTGAAACTTTGACTTTTATTTAATAGTTTGATATGTGAAAAGTTACTGTTGATTTATTTTATAATTACTTGTCAAAAAATTTTTCTGAAATCCACTAGTTTACAGTTTGCTTATCCCATGTAAAAATGTCATATGTATTATATTTACTTATTAACACTCTTTTCTTTCAGAGTACCTGTCCGTTTACAAGTACAAGTCCTCATCCAATTGAAATATTATAATTTTACCACTTTTTTATACTCTGGCTATCTAATTTCTCATTAAGTAATGAAACTTTTTCAAAAGTAAGAAAGCTTTTATGGGTAAACAGAAGATCAAATAGACACCATTAAGCATTCATTAAAGTCAGTCTAAATCCTGTATAATTGAGCTATAAGAAATTAATTTTCTGTAAATTTTCTTACTGAGGTAATGTTAACAAACTTAATTATTTAAAATTAAACATCAATGGTGTTATGACATTCAAATATGCAACTACCATTATCTGTCTACTTCCAAAACATTTTCATTATTCTGAAAGTCTCAGTTTCAATTTGAGAATACGTTAATTTAAATTTAAGAAACTCAAAGGACCTGCAATTATAAAGAGGATAAAGAATTGTTATTCATCTTGATATTACTTAATATCAAAAAGGAGATATTAAAGAACAATTTACACACATAAAACAATGAGAAAGATTTCTAAAACTTTACGTGGGTAAATGCTAAGCAAATGGTATAGATAATAGTTAATCTCTCATAGCATTAATGCTATATATATCTTGACTGGTACATGCTACTTTAGTAATCATACTAGATTATGACATGAAAAAAAATCCCTTTATATCTGCCTAGGTTTTGCTTCAGACTTCCCATGTGGCAATAGTGGTAAAAAATCTACCGACAATGCAGGAGGCATAAGAGATGCAGGTTCTGTCCCTGGGTGGGGAAGATCTCCTGGAGGAGGGCATGACCAACCACTCCAGTATTCTTGCCTGGAGAATCCCATGGACAGAGGAACCTGGTGGGTTGCAGTCCATAGGATGGCAAAGAGTCAGACACAACTGAAGTGACTTAGCACACACACACACAGGTTTTGCTTCATCTTACTAATTTTCTGGGGACGTCCCCTGATGGTTCAGTGGTTAGGAATCTAAGTTCCAATGCTGGTGACCTGGTTTAGATTCTTTGTCCAGGAACTAGGATCCCTGATGCCCCAAGGCAACTAGCCCAGCATGCTGTAACTACTGAGCTTGCACGCTACAACTAAAGAAAATCTTGCATATTGCAATGAAGAGCTCACACAGACAAAAATATAAAAGAAATATTTTAAAATAGTTTTCTTAATTTTCATGGACTCTCATTTGTATTTGGGATAACTTGTCTGAGTCTGAACACTTTGTTAGGATTTTATCATAGCTCTACTCTTTTTCATACAATATGTAAATATTTTCACTGTCAATTTGTAGGAATGTGCTCATCAGAATGGCTGAAGTATCAAGAAAAGTGCTATTGGTTCTCTAATGAGATGAAAAGTTGGAATGACAGTTATAGATATTGTTTGGGGAAAAAATCTCACCTACTAATTATTCAGAACCAACTTGAACTGGTAAGTGATTTAGTATCAGGCTTATGATACTTGCTGCTTTGCAATTTAAAAGGCTTATCTCAAATTTCTTCCCACCTTTTCATTAAATTATCTTTTATCTTGGCTACTGAACTTTTGGTGCCCTTTTAAATTCTGAGCTGGAGTTCAGTGCTTCACTTGACTTGGGGTAATTATGGTCTGAATATTGATGTTTAATTTACAAGTAGTAGTAGTTCAGCTGATAAAGAATCTGCCTGCAATGCAGGAAACCTTGGTTTGATTACTGGGTCGGGAAGATTCCCTGGAGAAGGGACAGGTACCCACTCCAGTATCCTTGCTGGAAAATTCCATGGGCAGAGGAACCTGGCGGGCTACGTGGGGTCACAAAGAGTCAAACACGACTGAGCCACTTTCACTTTCACTTCACAGCATATGTCCTGGTACATGATATATAGTGAAAGCTGCTCAGTCGTGTCTGACTCTTTGCAACTCCATGGAGTATACAGTCCATGAAAATTTCTAGGCCAAAATACTGGAGTGGGTAGCCGGTTCCCTTCTCCAGGGGATCTTCCCAACCTAGGGATCAAACCCAGGTCTCCTACATTGCAGGAGGATTCTTTACCAGCTGAGCCACCAGGGAAGTCCATATGATGTATAATATATGTATAAATAAGATGATTGACTAGGATAAGAGACCTCATCTAAAGTGTGAGTTGTCCAGTAGAATTCTAAAATCTTTCTTAGTATGTCTAAATCATTGTTATCCTGTTCATTTAATTACTCATCACCCACTTTTTAGGCTTTTATACAGAAAACTCTAAAACAATCAAACTACGTGTGGATTGGGCTTAACTTTACTTCCCTGAAAAGAACATGGACCTGGGTGGATGATTCTCCTTTGGATTCAAAGATGTGAGTCTTTCCCAAAAGACAATATGATCTATTCTCTATCAGAGAATTTATCTCTTTAAAACATCTATAAACATATCAAAATGAACTCAAATAGTTTTTGGTACTAAAGAATCTGAAAGGATGAAAATTAATGTTGGCTGGAGTAATGACAAATTTTGGCTTGGTTTTTAAAGTAAAAGGACTTGAAAACAATAATGATTGTTCACTTACTGATTTTAAAAACTAGTCACACTTTATATGGAAAGGTACACTGGAAACAATGTAGTCTGCTGCTTTCAAAGTTCTCAATACTTTTTAAATTTTTATTTTTAAAATTAATTTTATTGGACTATAGTTACTTGACAATAGTGTGTTAGTGTCTATTATACACCTGAGTGAATCAGGTACACACCCTTGTTTTTGGAGTTCCTTCCTGCCAGGGTCCAGACCCAGCAGGATCCAGGGGAGCCCTCAGGATGAACGGCGTCAGTGAATGAGAGAGAGACAGAAAAAGCTCGGGGGCTGAGTCTGGAGTTTATTTTTGCACGACCCCTTTATACCCTTAACAACATCTTTTTGGGGGAAGTGCATATTGCTTACACACAGGTCAGCTCAAAACATTACAGCAACTTGACCTTCAACAGAAACAGGATGTCACCCACATACTTTTCATTCACAAGAGTCTTTCTTATCATTTGGCCTTCAGGCCTGTTAACATTTTATGGCTTGCACCTGGTGTGACTCAAGCAACTTCAGTAGCTGACCCTATTTTTCTTGTGATTAATCTATTTTCTTTCTAATAGGCGTCATCTCTATGGGAACTGGATAGGATTACATTTTTTACAGAACAGAAATGCGAAGGACTGTAAAAACAGCAGATATAGCACAAAACAGGCTCTTAGTCTAAAAGTTAACTATTAACTACCTGCAAGAAGTCACCAGCTAATCTCTATCTAAAGTATTTTCTATTAGGCGCATTTGTGGCTATTATATTTGTGGAGCTTTTCTCATCCAGCGGAGGGGCCTATGCTTAATGGTTTCTTTTTTTAGAGTACTGTGCTTTGGATGTTTAGAACAATCATGAGCATTTTTTTTTTTTGTAATGAGAGCACACATTTATCAAACAAGCCAGAATGCCAGCAAAAGGGTTTGAATTGAAGCATTTCTTTCATCCCTGACCCCTTCATAGGGTACCAGCATCCAGGACATTTATTAATTAGGGTTTTAAGTTGGTCTTTATTCACTGAAAGAGGAGCAGGAGAACTCTCGGCAGGCGACACAAGAATCCGCAGCAGGGCAAACAAGAACAACAGCAGAAAAGGGGGGAGGATACAGGGTGGGGTAGAGGCCGAGGCCAACCTGGAGGGCCCCTTATCCTAGACAGCCTTGCCTGTCAGGTTTTTTCCTCATGACCTCGTCATGGATGGGATCCCGGACGGCCTTGCCTGTCCAGTATTTTCTTCATGACCTCGTCACGGGCGGGACCTCCCATAATGGCTCCCGGCACCTTCCCATTTAAGTCACGTCAGAACCCTGAGTAGAGTTCCTGGAGCTATACAGTAGGTTCTCATTAGTTACCTATTTTATACATTTTATACATAGCATCAATAGTATATGTATATCAGTCCCAATCTCCCAATCTCATCCTTTCCTTTTTCCCCCTTGGTGCCTTCCCTGGTATCAATGCATCTTTTAGTCATTTTTAGTAATTAAAAAAAAAAAAACTCTACATGATTTTTTTTGTACTATAAGATCATCACAATGCTAAAAAAATGAATAAGAACTACAAGACAGAACAAAATAATCCTAAATGCTCTCAGCAGCTGCAGGAGATTATTGCCATTTTGAAAATTTTATGAATGCTTTTCTGCACTTGTATTAATTTATAAAATTATATTATACTATAGTAGGAACAGTAAACTCAAATATTATCCCTATGTTGGTAGGCAAAGTAATGGTCCCCCTAAATGTTCTAATCCCCAAATTCTGTGAATATTACCTTAAGTCTAAAAGAGAGTTCATGAGTGTGATTAAATTAATAATCTTGAGATAGAAGTGTTATGCTGGATTATTCAGGTGGGCCCAATGTAATCACAAGTCCTTATGAGAGGGATAAAGTAGGGACAGACTTGGAGGAGATTTGAAGATAAATGCAGAAGTCCAAGTTGTCTGATAGCCAAGGAGTGCAGGCAACCTCTAGTACCTGCAAAAGGCAATGAACAAGTTTTTCCCCAGTGCCTGCAGCAGACAGCTTCAAAGACACTTGATTCTAGTTCTTTAAGACGAGCTTTGAGCTTCTGATATCTAGAACTGCAAGATAAAAAATCTGTGCCGCTTTAAGCCACTAAATTTTTGACAGCTGATTACAGCAGTGATAAGAAACATTCACTATGGTAACCAATACTATTGGTTAATGAATACTATTGTGTTATTGTCCCTTCACTCCTGTTTAATTATTAGATATTACTTATTTTCTATCTCTGGAGAAGGGAATAACAACCCACTCCAGTATTCTTGCCTGGAGAGTTCCATGGACAGAGGAGCCTGGTGAGCTACAGTCCATGTGGTTGTGAAGAGTCGAACATGACTGAAAGACAAACACACACATTTTCTATCTCACTGCACTAAATTAATAAATCTAAGGAAATCAACTGAAGACATTATTTGGAATGGAGAATAAAATTATGGGTGAGATCTAAGTTGTGTCACTGGACATGACCTGATTGGCTACTTAAGAAGATGCTAACTTAGGTTTCTTCCTCATGCCAAATCCACTAAACACTACCTTTAGGATTGAGTTTTAACTCTGGACTATGCCTAGGGATTTTTGTTCAAAAACATTCAATACAAAATTCAAGTGTAAACATATATAAATTCAAATGTAGGTGTATTTTCCAATATGAAAATCCAATACTTACTTTTCCACTATTATTCTGGAAGCTTTGAAAACCATGTATATCTTTTCTGTGACCCCTTCTTAAACCTTTTTTTTTGTAAGTTTAAATAAATTCTTAACAGAATAAATCACTAAGTACAATATTTTATATATAACTTCATTATTGTATTCAACACATCGCTTTATGGATAAGTATTATGATACATGTATAATTTATTTAGGCCTTATTTATACATATATAAATTATTTAGGATCAGTTGGTGGCAGGTGAGAGTTCTACCACTGAACCACCAGTGCAAGCAGGTCAGTTTGGGTACTAAGTTCTTTACAAACATCTAGTCATTTAACCTCTGTAACAACATAATGAGGTAAATATTTGTATCACTATTGTACAAACAGATATGAAAAACCAAGAAAGATTTATTGAGCTACCCATGTGACTTACTCCCAGTTTTTAATCTAAATGGATGACATTGAACAATGGAAAGAATACTAGGATAGAAATGTGAGCACAGATTTCTTCTTAGCTCTGTCATTTACAAACAGATTTTGGAATTCTTTATCACAGACAGTAATACTAAATTACAGAGGCATTGATATGTTTCATGACTCTAAGTATTTGAAAATGCCTTAAATATTTGAGTTATCTTTTAACTGAGGGAGGTTTTTAACTGAGAACAGAATGGATGTCTTCAGCAATGATGATGAATAATATCTTTATCTTCTCCTTTTCAGATTTTTCATAAAAGGACCAGCTCAAGAAAATAGCTGTGCTGCCATCAAGGAAAACAGAATTTACTCTGAAACTTGCAACAGTGTTTTCAAATGGATTTGCCAATATTAAAATTTTTAAAGTGACAGTGAGTTATCAAGGATCAAAGTTTTGATCTAACATGAATCTTTAGGAATAAGAATTTAAAATTGCAATTAAACACCAGCCTGGCTTCTCTATTTCCCTCAGTCATGTTCATGGGTCCTAGTCACAGAGTAACTCATGTTAACAATCTAAAATATACCCTCTGATTCTTTGTGTGATAATATAATCCAAAATGAACCCATACATTTATATTCATGATGTAGTTCACCTTTTCTTTTACAACAAATGTGAACAAATTATGTCTGCTTTTCTGTTATTTTGCTTTTTTTATTGTTAACAATATCCTATGCAAATTTCATGTAGCTCTGAGTTATATCATAGTGTGACTTCCTGTGGGGCTTCCAAGGAGGCACTAGTGGTAAAGAAGCTGTGTGCCAATGTAAGAGAAGATGTAAGAGACACAGGTTCAATCTCTGGGTCTGGAAGATCCCCTGGAGGAGGGCATGGCAACCCACTTCAGTGTTCTTGTCTGGAGCATCCCACGGACAGAGGAGCCTGGCAGGCTGTGGTTCACAGGGTAGCACAGAGTCAGATACAACTGAAGCGACTTAGCATGCACGCACATGGCTTTATATTTTACACTCCTTTTTTGATGAACATTAACTTTAACTGTTTTCCCAGATTTTTGCTACTATAAACTATGCTGCAGTATTCTGAATATCTTTTTAAATGGTAGTACTTTTATTTCTATGATTTAAACTTTAAAACTGGATATTCTGAGTAAAAAGGTGTTAATGTTTTTGGCTTGCTGCTGAGTTTATGCAATTTTTATCTAAATTTAGAAGCTATCACAAACTTATAAGCAGACTATATGTACAGGGGAAAAAAGCTTAACTTTTCCCCAAACCTTTTGAGAATTTGATGAATTTCATTATAAAATTTCAAGTATCATTGGATATTTTTATATGTATTTCCTACAAAAAATACCCTACTTAATTAAAATACAATTATCAATCAACAAATTAATACTAACACAGTACTACCATCTCTAAGTCTCTATAACATTTACCAATTATCAAATAATGTTCTTTTGAATTAAATATCCAGATCAGAAATATTTTTTGCATTTAGTTACTTTGTCTAGTTTCCTAACATCTAGAAGACTTCCTTAACCTTTGACATTCGTAAGCTGATGCTTTTAAATATTACAAGCTGGATATTCTGTAAAATGTTCTTCAATTTAAAATTTTTTGATTATTTCTAATAGTTATATTCAAGTTATGTCTCCCTGGCAGGAATAGCAGAGCAATAATGTAGTGAAGCTTTGTTCATTCTTTCAGAAGATGTAGTTTTTTGCTCCATTGTTATGATGCTTACTTTTTTCACATGGTTAAAGTGGCGCCTGTTAATGGCAACCCACTCAAGTACTCTTGCCTGGAGAATTCTATGGACAGAGGCACCTGGCAGGTTACCATCCATGGGATCACCAAAGCCAGATATGACTGAGCAACTTTCACTTTCATTTTATCAGACTTCACTGTAAAGTTTCTCTTTTATCTTTGTAATCAATTAATATTTTGTTGTTCTCTACCATTCCACCACTTCTTATTTATCCTAGCACCGATGGCCAGACCTCTAGAAATTCTGAGAGCCTGGATTATTACTAAAGCTCCTTTCCTTGTTGGAGATTGATTTTTTTCTCCTCAATGCTACATGACTCTCAAAATGCTACTCTGTTTTTCACATTTTCCTTTTTGTTGTCAAAGAGAAAAGGAAGTAAACCTTAATAAATTTAATTTTATTGGAATTCCCAAACAGTTGCAGAGCTTATAATTACCATTATTATCATGGTGTGATAACGAAAAACTACAGTTTATTATCACTTGCCATGATCCAGAAAAAACATTGATAAAAGATTTAAATGTGTCTCAAGTAATTGGTCCAACTACATAATGAAGCTGTTATTATTATTTTATTTTAAGATGAGCTTTTTGATTGAGAGACCAAGTAAATTTGTTCTCAAATTGGTGACAGAATCCATGATTAAATGATCTCATTTGAAAGTTAGTTTGAAATTAAGGCAGTAAATAAATGTTAGTGTTGACTCATGGCATTTCTGGGTTAGTCACAGAGTCTATGAATGTAAAGTCCCTCAATTTAACATTGCTGTAACCACTCCCAGTTCTTAGGAAAGGCATTAAAAAGTAATAATCCATATCGTTGATATGGTTATTCACTTGCCAATTAGAACATATTTTTGAAGTTTAATATCTTTGTGTTACTGGGCTTCATGGTGTATTCTGAGTGTATAATAATGAAGACATGTGATTCCTTCATTTGAGCAACTTAATAGAAAACTGAAACATTCACTGGGTATATGTGATTCATTGTGACAAATTACAAAAGGCAGTGGAAAAGTTATTATGAGAGCACTTAATGCGATATCTAACTCAGGGGAATCTTCCCAAGGAAATGTCAAATGAATTTGCAGACTGAAGACTTGAGTATACATTGGCTAAACGAAAAAGTAAGACATTGAGTTTGAAGGGAGAAATGTTTCAGCTGAAGGGAACTGCAAAAGAGAAGAGAACGTGTATAGCAGTTCGGTAACCCTTTGAAATTTAAGATGGCTCAAGCAAAAATTGCCTTCCTGGTGGCTCAGAAGGTAAAGAATCTACCTGCAGTGCAGGAAACCTAGGTTCAATCTCTGAGTCGGGAAGATCCCCTGGAGAAGGCAATGGCTGCCCACTTCAGTATTCTTGCCTGGAGAACTCCAGGGACAGAGGAGCCTGGTGGGCTGCAGTCCATGGGGTCACAAAGAGCTGGACATGACTGAGTGACTAACACTTTCACTTTTGAGCACAAATGATGAAAGAGGAAGTATGAGAAAATAACTCTCTTTAACACAAAAATCTCTTTTTTAAACTATGTGAATTTTGTAATTCCTAAACTTTATGGTCCTGTTTACTTTCTTATGAAATCCTATGTGAAGTGAAGTGAAGTGAAAGTCGCTCAGTTGTGTCTAACTCTTTGCAGCCCTATGGATTGTAGCCTGCCAGGCTCCTCTGTTCATGGAATTCTCCAGGCCAAAAACTGGAGTTGGTAGCCTTCTTCAGGGTAACTTCCCAACCCAGCTCTCCCATATTGCAGGCGGATTCTATATGATCTGAGCACCAGGAAAGCCTCAGTTGGTAAAGAATCTGCCGGCAATGCAGGAGACACGGGTTCAATTCTTGAACTGGGAAGATCCCCTGGAGAAGGAAATGGCAACCCACTCCAGTATTCTTGCCTGGAAATCCCATGGGCAGAGGAGCTCTGTCAGCTACAGTCCATGAGGTTGTAAGACTCAGGCACAACTTAACGACTAAACCACCATGAAACCCTATACCTATTACCATACATAAGATACAATGATGTTTTTACATGATTCCTGGGGAGCTGCAGTGTAAGGGGAGAAAGTATACAGAGATTTGTTTTAATTTCACTGAGGAAAAAAAAAAATTTCTGCAGGTGCCAGACAAATAGTTTGGGACAGCTAGTGGCTCAAAAACTCTAACTCCTCAATGGGTTTCAGGAAAGCATTTTTAAAGGCATGCTGAGGGAGGGGAGTAAGAGTGTGTGATCCTCTCATTTCTCTGATTGTCTGATGGTGACGAACCAGGGTGACATCACAGGGGTTAACATTATCAATCCTTGGGCTCCGTAGCTCTGAGGGCCACTGTTTATGGGCACCAAGCAGTTAACTTCTTCCATTTGGTAGAGGTTTAAGCATCTGTAAAACAACTCTGGAAATATGTGTCAGATGCTACTATCCTGATAATTCAGAGAGGAGGTAAAGATTCTTTGATGCCATATGACTGATTACTGTAAAACTATTATCAGGTCTCCTTCCTCCAGTGTTATTTTTGTCACTACATGTTTACAACTTTTCAATCATTGTCTTTTCTTTCTTTTTTAAAAAAAAGCTTTTTATTTTGGGGTGGAGTATAGAGAATTAACAATGTTGTGATAGTTTCGGGTAAACAATTAAGGGATTCAGTCATACATACACATGTATTCATTCTCCCCTAAACTGCCCCCCCCATTCAGACTGCCATGTAACATAGAACAGAGTTCCCTGTGTTGTATAAATGTCTTTGTTGGCTATTTATTTTAAACATAGCCGTGTGTACATGTCCATTCCAACTCTCTATGTCTCAGCCAGATGCTCCAGGATGCAAACTCACTCAGAAGGACAATGTGGATAATGGAGTGCAGTTTATTACACTGGTGGGTCCAAGGCAGAGTTTCCTCTTCAATCAGGGACCCCGACCAATTTTTGTGAAAACCTTAAGTATACCCTAAGTGTATGGGAATAAGCCCACATCACAAAATTCCTCAATCCTACTCTGGAAAATGTCAAAGGGAGATACAATCAGGTTACAGCCATGATTCATAATCAAAAGAGTCAGCTGGTTATACATTGTTGCCTACACCAATGGGTCGCATAAAGATTACAAAGGTGACTGACTACATAGGGGATTATTACATTCTTTCTGGCAATGGGAAATCTTGGCATGAGATCTTGTGTTTATCAGTCCAGGAGGTCTGTTAGGCCGTAGGTATGCTATCTCCATGGCTATGACATAGTCCAAAGTTTCACTGAGAATGTAACATGAAGTTTCCTTCTTTTCCAAGATGGAGTCAGCTCAGCCTGTTCCTTTCCTCCTTCATTCCCCCCTCTTAATGCTCTCAACTTCCAGTGTGAGTGGCACTCACCGGGATGTACTGTATTTTAGGTTTCCTGGTATATATTTGGGTAAATGAAGCCAGCCTCTGTGAAACAAAGCTAACAACACGTTGGAAAATATAAGGTCCACATAACAGAATCAACAGAGCAACTATAACAATGGTTAATATAGTTTTCCACCAATCACGCTTCACCTGTGAGAGAACAGAAGTCCAAGAAGGAAGATTATCATCAGACACAGCTTTTACTTGACCTTTCATGTCATCTAGAGTGGCTGATATATTGCCAGATAAATCAGGAATATATACACAACATTCAGCTTTGATTATAGCACAGGTCCCTCCTTGAGCAGTTGTAAGTATGTCTAAAACCATTCTATTTTGAATTACTGCTTTCCTCATTTGTATTTTTTCAGTATTGAGTGCTTGAATCACTCTCAGGCTGTCATTTGGGGCTCTTTGGGTGAAATTAGTTAGAACTTCAATTCTGATCATTAAGTCCATAGTGCCCAATGAGGGAACAAATATAGCAGACAAATAATCATACCAATGGAAAACTGATCCTGACCATCTGGCCCGTAGGGAGGGTAAATTTAAAGGCTCTTGTATTGTTGACCAAATGTTTCCATGGGCAAAGACCAGACCTAAAGTACACCTCCCTACCCATCCTGGGGCAGCTAAGGCCATAAGTTAGTCCCACATAACCAGTGAGTGGTGGCTGCTATTATTACAGTTTCCATACTCGATTTGCGTTGTTTTGTCTGGTGCAAAAAATCACATAAGCTAGGCACATCACCCTTCCGTAGAGGTGATACCCACCACAGGAGTCTATCCATGTGCATGGCTCCACACACCCAGCAGTTAGATTGTTTTATGAAAGTCAGTATAGGAAGGTGCCCACAAAATGAAAATATTGTCCTGTGCAGAAACTATGTCTAGTCTCAAGATGATACCAGGAAGTCCGTGTAG